CTACAGTATTTTTACAGTCTTTATTTTACAGTTAAAATAAATGTTTATCAAATAAAATCTTATGTTACAACTAATCAGGGATCCCTTTCATAAAGACAACATATAGAGGAATATAAATAAAAAGCTTTGATTTATTGAGGCAGATCTGTTTAAACTTAAATCACCTAAAAACACTTAAAACAAAAAAATAACCGTCTGTTTCTGACAATTGTTCTCATTTCTGGTTTCAGGGACCTGGCCAGCGTGAGTTGTGAGGAACTTGGTCCATTACCGGTGGGCTGGGAGGTCCGGAGCACCGTGTCTGGACGCATCTACTTTGTGGATCACAACAACAGAACCACACAGTTCACAGATCCACGTCTGCACACCCTTATCAGGTCTGAAAACGTGTTTGTCTTGAACCAAAGGCTCAGTCCTCACGTTTTCAGTGTGTACTGAACAAGTAGTTTTAGGATTATTTACTTGTTAATCTAATCTGCTGTAAAAAAAGAAAAGAAAAGAAAACTGTCTGACTCTGAGCGTGACCTACTAACACTCATCAGCCCTGGTAACACCTCAGGGTGGTGTGACTTACAGAAACGTGGGCTCACGGGAGGTTTAGCTGCGCTAATTCCCCCCCGTCTGCCCTCCTGGTGTTCTCCTATCTCATCATGTTTCCTCCTCTGCTCCTTATCCACCTTCCAGCCAGCAACCCCAAGTGAAGGAAACCTCCCAGGCSCCTCAGATGGACGTGGGGGTTGACGAGGGTGGGGTCGGAGGAGTGAGCGGAGGCGGAGGAGGAGGAGATGGAGACGTGGCGGTGCGCTATGAAAGAGACTTGGTGCACAAGTTGAAGCTGCTCCGCCACGAGCTGTCGCTGCAGCAGCCTCAAGCCGGACACTGTCGCATCGAGGTGTCCCGCGAGGAGATCTTTGAGGTAAGGGTGTCTAAATGAGCCTCAACTTTTACATCCCCCAACCATCAAATACAAAACAACGGTCTGTTCCACAAGAGATTTTGGAAAACAAACTTAAAAATCTTTTATTTCTGTGTTTTTAGGAGTCGTATCGGCAGATAATGAAGATGAGGCCCAAAGACCTGAAGAAACGACTGATGGTGAAGTTCAGAGGAGAGGAGGGTCTGGATTATGGAGGGGTGGCCAGGTGACTGGCTTGTTTGTTCATCCAGTTTTTGATCTCAAAGCACAACTAGTGAAATGTTAAGTTGTTGTCACTTCGCAGCTCATCTGCCTCATCAGATCACATCGTGTCCATATTAATGTAAAAACATTACAGTTGAAGGTAAAACAACTGTACGAGTTTAAAATGTCATGAAGATGTAGTGAATTAATGGCAAATGTTTTTCATTGTTTCGGTTTAAATGTAATTATATTACACTACATTCAAAACTCAAATAGCTGTGCAGTAATAATCATACACCAGTCTTTTTTCTACTGGTATAATTTATTGTCAGTTTTTTATTTTCTAATTATGTGTTGTGTGTTAAATGACCGCTGCTGCAAGTGGGTTTTTTTAATAACTAAAGGGAGATTAATATCAATAGTGCAAAACTATCATGTTGATTTTGGGAAAGGATTTTAAATGTGTAAGTTGTACCAATAGTAAGTTTTAGGTTACTGTATTTGGGTGTGTATAATGTGACACCGATCACCTCATTTTTTAGACAAACATCATGATTTGTCAGCCCGTGTACCCTCTGTGGGGGGAATGGATCATTTTGGGGATGCCTACTTGTGGACATGTTTGTTAATGCTAATCTACGCTTGATTCTGTGCTCCTGTTGAGCGCATGAACATGCAGCTGACATTTGCATCTTATTTCCATCTTTGCAGTTAACAAAGCAAAAAGTTTTCCCTCCAACTCATTTAGCAACACAAGCCTCTCAAACTTCTGAGTAAAAAAATAAAAGCAACAGTTGTTAATATGCCTAGCTATGTGCAGTGGGAGGGCAGAGGGACGGTTTATGATGGTTTATTCCCTTCGACACAATATCTCACTTATATAGGAGAAAATATTGTAATTTATTGTTATAAAAATCAGTCAAAATGTACTCCCATGTATAGTTCAATCTCCCAARTTTATGGATGATTTTTGGGGTTGAATTTTTCTCATTATGCACTCTTTAAATTAGTTATTTTTTTAAAATGAGTGACTTTTGTATAATTGTTGACACTTGTTTGTTTTTAGGGAGTGGTTGTACCTTCTGTGCCATGAAATGTTGAACCCGTACTACGGCCTGTTCCAGTACTCCACAGACAACATCTACACACTACAGATCAACCCCGACTCTTCCATCAATCCTGTGAGCTTTAGTTTGTTTGTTTGTTTGTTTATTTATTTATTTATTTTACTATTTAAGGCACGTTTTATGGTGGGAGTAAAACTACAGGCTGTCTGACTTAAGTCTCTCACTCTTTCTCTTCAAGGACCACCTGTCATATTTCCACTTCGTGGGTCGGGTCATGGGCCTGGCGGTCTTCCACAGTCACTACATCAACGGGAGCTTCACTCTGCCCTTCTACAAGCAGCTGCTCGGCAAACCCATCCAGCTCAACGACCTGGAGACCACCGACCCTGAGCTGCACAAGAGCCTCATCTGGATACTGTGAGGAAATGCTTACTGCTTTATTTGAGGGTTTTTTTTCCCGTGTGTGTGTGTMTGTTTGTTTCGGTTTTACTTACTTCAGTGCTCTTTGTGTAGAGAGAACGACATCACTTCGGTCCTGGATCACACGTTTTGCGTGGAGCACAACGCATTCGGGAAGTTCTCACAACACGAGCTGAAACCTAACGGCAGAAATATCCCCGTCACGGAGGAGAACAAGAAGGAATATGTCAGGTACACAATGTTCCAGTAGTTACCCTCTGCGCTTGCTAACAATTGGTCAGATTTATTCAGTATATTCATTCTGCTGATGTTTACGGTGTGTTGCAGGCTCTATGTGAACTGGAGGTTCATGCGTGGGATTGAAGCCCAGTTTCTGGCTCTACAAAAAGGTTTCAGCGAGCTGATCCCGCAGCACCTCCTCAAACCTTTTGACCACAAAGAACTTGAGGTACCTTTCTCATTTATCAGTTAATGTTTTAAATAATTCTAACAAATGAATAGTGAAGTCTTTTGACTCAGCATATTTTTACTCAAGTAAATTGTAAAAATTGGTCGTCTAAGAAATTACTCAAGTAAGAGTAAAAACATATTTAGTAAAAAAGGGCAACTTGGGTACTGATCATAAAATCTGATTTAATTTAAAATGATGCTATCAGACTGACATAAAAATTGTTTTGTGCAAATTCTGGTGGCTTTAAAAACTTAAATGAAGAATGTTGATATAAATAAATATTACAAAATAACAAATTCCAGCAGAAGAAACACTTTTCAAAGTCAAAATTTTCTAATTAAGAAAGTAATACTTACATTATGTGCCTTAAGTACTTCCACTGACTATATCTACTGTTTACCATATATATATATGTGTGTGTGTGTGTGTGTGTGTGTGTG